AGTAACAGCAGTTGCGAAGGCGAGACATCGAAAGGCAAAACAAAAGTTATTAAACAAACGACCGCCTCTTCCGCCCCAAAGTTTGCAGAAATACATAACATATGATTAATTTTTGCTTAATTAAAACAATTTGTATATAATTTAGTAAAATAATTAAAAAAGAGAACTTAAATGGAGTGAAGAATGGCTCGAATGGCAGCAAACGTAAGGCAAACCAGACTTCAGTGAGCAATGGAAACGGCAATAGCGGTGCTCTCACTTTAACGCCTCCTCACACCCCCTCCAATGAAGTGAGCACTTTGCAGCGCAAAAGAGATAACACTGGTGAAACTAAGCCAGGTAATTTTTGTAACTCTTAATACCCTATATCTATGGAAGCAATACTAAAGAAGCTGTTGTATAGTCTGCATAAATATATAAAACAAAGAATTTTCGAATTTTCGAAATTCAATGCATTTTAGTGACAAATACTGTATTTGATTACGATTATTATGTATAGTCATAAACCCCGGACCCCATCACAACGGTCCGGCGACCGCCAGTGGCCCCAACGCTATAGACTTCAGTCACGTGGATGTGGGAAACCTGACCACAGAAGTGATGACAAACATAGACGAGACAGAACTCGACCAATACTTACCACTTGTGAACGCCTCGTCCGCACAATATTCCAGTGCAATGGAGGCCGCAGCAGCCAACTCGCCCGTCAATGCAATGTACGCCTGGTCTACCAAATACCTTACATCCCATCAGAACAGTACAAAAGCCAATGCCAAACAAAATGACTCTTTCAATGATAATAGTTATGAAAGCCATCAAAGTTTATACCCGAGGAATGGAGAGCACCAGCAGATGGGCTCTTATGACCACTGCGTTAGTGTTAATCAACTCTACCCCTCGTATTCAAGTTACGCCTTATCAGCAAACCATAGCCCATACGGCACGGGATTTATGCCCCTTCAGTGGCCTTACACTTGATGCCATCAAATATCAAACTATCCCTTTATTTTCAAACATTTGCCTCTCTTTTAAGAATTATTTGAATAAATATTTATAATTATTAAGAAACGGCAACTGTATTGCAATTGTTTGAATGTTATTATTATATTAATTACAACATTAAATTTGTGAATAAATCTTATTATTCAAAAGTAATTATAAACTCTAACATTTCATATTTCAATATAATATTATTACTTTAGCATGTAATTTATTTATCATTTTTAAAAATAACTTATTAAATACAAAAGGCAATTTTGTATTAAAATTTATTTTACAAATAAAACTCAACTATTCTGTAAATGATTTCTCGAGAATTTTCAACAACAAAATGAAAATATATTTTACAAAATATCAATACATACAAAACAAAATGAGTCCAGTTCTAATATTTTTAATATGAATAAAATTTTTATGAAATTAACATTATTAAGGAACATGCTGTACATTATTTAAGTTACATTTTAAGAATAACTTACATTTTAAATATAAATACTGAATAAAGTTTTCACTTACGGTCGTTATATTTCTCATTAAATTAACTATGATATACAGTATTAGTTAAATATTTAGTAAATTAAAATTGTAAAAATTATTGTGTATACAAATTATAAACGCTTATGTTTTCATCTAATTTTTTAAAATCTAATTAATTAAATCTAAAAATACTGCACTTCACTATTATATTTTGTTTTTGAACACATATTTTAAACATGAGAAGTAAATTTACTATGATAATCTTAATGACAAAATAAAAGATCATGATCACTTAACACTGTAAGTATTAGAAGTTGTCAAGTTTATAACCAGATGACAGTGAAGCAAATAAACTTGTTGAATACTGTATTAACTGTAAAAGTATAATACAGTATATAGGAGAATGAATAAAGTTGAATGACCTTGGTGCTATTACGATCCGCGTATGAAAGAGTATGATAGTCTTAACGGTAACGAAACAAAACGTATAGTAATATTGATTTGTTGAGCACTCGTAGTATTGTTATATTAACACACTTTTGAATGCATTGCTTATTGTTTGGACACAATTAAGAGACACTCGTATAATGCAAACTCCCGGTGCGATTGGAGGGGTTGGAGGCGAGGAAATGCCTACTTTTAAGTGCGTGTTGGTGGGCGACGGGGGCACTGGAAAGACTACTTTCGTGAAGAGACACCTGACGGGAGAGTTTGAGAAGAAATATGTGGCCACTCTTGGTGTGGAAGTACATCCTCTGGTGTTTTACACAAATCGAGGGCCCATTCGGTTCAACGTGTGGGACACCGCCGGACAAGAAAAGTTTGGCGGACTCCGGGACGGCTACTATATTCAGGGCCAGTGCGCGCTCATCATGTTTGACGTCACCTCCCGCGTCACCTACAAGAACGTGGCCAACTGGCACCGGGATCTCGTGCGCGTCTGCGACAATATACCCATCGTTTTGTGCGGAAACAAAGTGGACATCAAAGACAGGAAAGTCAAGGCGAAGGCCATTGTGTTTCACAGGAAGAAGAATCTTCAGTATTACGACATTAGCGCCAAAAGTAACTATAACTTCGAGAAACCCTTCCTCTGGATGGCCCATAAGCTCATCGGCGACCCTCACCTTAAGTTCGTGGAGATGCCTGCGTTGGCGCCCCCGGAGGTCCAGATGGACGCCATGATGCTGACGAAGCTCGAGGAGGAAAGACGATTGGCAGAGGGGATACCACTTCCAGATGATGACGACGACGATATTTAATTGATTTTATATTCAGTAATCCTTATTACAGTAATAATAATAATAATACTGAATAACAAACTATACTTTTCTCGTAATACAGAATTTAATTTAATTTATTAAATTGTTTTGCAATTGAATCTTACTTAAGGTGTCTGTACCTTAAATTCACATTAAATTTTCTAATGCATGAATGGATTATTTTAAATTAATATTGATAATATACGAGTATTGTAGCTTAAAATATACTGTAAGAATTGAATATAATTCGTAATACAATTAATCCTGTGATTTCATAATTTATTATAAATTTCAACTTTTTAAATTCTTTAAACTTTTTAAATTTCTCCAAATAATATTAATTAAATTAATTTTTAATTGTATTTCTGATTAATAATACAATATTTAAATTTATTCATAAGATCTAAGTTAATTTTGANTATCTAAAAAATGGGCTAAAAATTAATCTAAATTTATTTTTTAGATATGCCTCAAAGGTTTTGATTAGAAAATTACAAATAAAAGGCATAAATAAATAAATTTTCTAAATATTCAGATTCGAAATATTTCGTAAATATTCAGAAACTATTCAAAATTCTGATTAATCTAAATTGTTTTTTGAGACTAAAATGAAATCCATTGATGTTTTATAATCAAGGTTTTATATTTCTTATTGCACAGTAAGTTCACAATCAATGTAATTAATATTGATAATTGTAATCATTTAAAAACACAAATTTATTTATTTTATAACATTTATGTCACATATTCTCAATGAAAAAATTAAAAATAAATTATTAAAAATCTACTGATAAAGGAGTTAAAAAATAGATTTTGAAACACTTATTTCATATTCTGTAAAATCCTTTTAATTTTAAGTGAATAACAGAATTTTAAAGAACTTGTTAATCATCAGGATTGTTCAAAACACAATTTCATAACTTTAAAATAATATATCATGGAACATTTGCTCAATTTTTTTTGAAATTAATGTCACTGCTCTTAATTTAAATTTAATGATTATAATTTTATCTATTATAATTTTATGGTATAAAAAATCTTAATGCACATTTAAAACATAAATATAGCTAATAAAAATAAACAATATTGTATATTATACATATTCAAAAATGGAAAAATAATTTATATTTTCTTATTTGATTAAATAAATTTGAGCAATATTCAATATAATATTACCAAATGTCTAGCCAAAGTAATATTATAATAATTCACTTTAAAACTAAATAAATTTTAAAATTATCCATCTTAATATGTAAATATTATATTGTCATCATTATTTTGTCAACACTGTTTACTACGAATCGTAGTCTACGATTCAAGTGATTACAATAAAAAAATCTTTATTTATTTAAATATGTTTAGGACACAGTTTGTTTTCTATGACAGTGGGCTATTTCTCACCTCATTTTGACAACTCTTACAATAATCTGAGAATATAGTAAAGTCTGTCCTTTTGTTGTCTAAGAGACAGGAATCCATTTCATGAAAGATAGAGTTACAGACAGACCCTTGTATTGACACAAACTTAGTATAATAGCGTTCAAGTGGACGATACTATCAGATGACACTTCTCTCTCTCTCTCTCTCTCTCTCTCTCTCTCTCTCTCACTCACNCATAACCATCCCTGAGCACAGGCAATACATTGACAGTCGTACAGTAATGTATATTATATTATGACTAACTTTTAGTTAAATTGTAACTTAATTGAGAGAAAAAGGCATCCTTTGAACACGACACACTCACTCACTTAAGTCAGGAGTCGGTCACATCAAAGGAGCCGACTTCCAAAACAAATATTTGTTACTACAAATTAGTTTTTAAATAATCAGTGTCATACTACTTTCAAATTTGTAATTAATATTATTATTAAGTCATTTTATAAATTATAGAAAATATTGATAGAAAATAAATTGAAACTTTATTAATTATAAGAAACATTAGTTATAAAGTGATTATATTTATTAAATGTAATAAACAGGTCATACCTCCAGAGTTTGCCTAATGTTTTGCTGAGCTCAGCGTTGTGTAGGTGCGGGTGTTGATCGGCCAGTTTCCTTCTCGCTGCCTGTGCCCACACCATGAAGGCATTCATAGGGCGTTTGACATGAATTTTTTGTTTACTGGATGAGTTTGGTTTAGTAGTGGTGGTCACTAGAGTCCAATCATATCCTTTGAGCACTCGTGACACAGCATCACAAATAGATAGCTTAGAGTTCAATGATTTGTCGCTCTCTTTGGGAATGTCATTGTTTTGTGTGTTTGGAGGACCTCTTCCCTCTTCAGATGACATATTTTGGACGATATTTTATTATTATTAACTAATCAGAGCCCAAAACACATTCAATGACTGTTTCGAGCAATCTTTGCGGCAAAGAGTGCGCAAAGTATTTCCTTAAGCAAAACGTTTGGTCTCTCCCCTCATCCGGAGCTTAGAGTGCTTTCCAATGCATTCTCATCTCCTCATTGGACTTCCATCTCAAGCCAAACCTATATATGAAAGTCATTGCAATTTATTTTGCAAATTTTGTCATACGAATATTCAATATATAACCAACAAAAGTAAACAAATTTTGATTAATTTCATATAAATCACAAAAATTGAAACTTTTTCTCGAAGCGGTCTAAAGGTTTTCATGAATTGAGGCGAATGTTATCCATAGAAGTGATTATCATTTGTATATAATTAGAAATCGTAAAAGTCTTATAATTTC